TAAAATTAAGGATTAATATCACGCGTGTTTTCGGAAGTTGTTGAAATTGCCCGAGTCGCTGCGCGACTCGGGCAATTTCTGCAACTTCCGAAAACACAAGTGATATTAATCCTTAATTTTACGAGGAACCATGTGATTACTTGTTTATAATATAAGGGGCAAAATGTTTTCTTACTGATCTCGCGCAAAACGGGACGCCATTGTTACAAAACAAACAGAAATTTCTTTACCTTGGCAGCCGTTGCTGAGCGATTTTCAGCCAATCATTTGCAAGTAATTTTTCCCAGGGCAATTACAAAAATTAAGAAAAAATGCCCTCTGTCTTGACCAATCACAATTCAGTAATTTTGCCCCTTATATGATAAACCTAAAAATAACATGCCTACCAACCTGAACAAACAATAGGCAACCAATAAAGAGAGACAGTCACATCTAAATTCTTACCTGTACCAGTCTCTCACTTCCAACTCGTATGGCAGTGTGCAACACTGAGTCGCCCGCGTCATCTTTCAAAGTGACGTCAGCGTTTTGCTCTAATAGCATTTCAACAATGCTGAACTGTTTTGCTAAGATGGCTGTGTGGAGAGGAGTCTTACCCGAGCTATCTTGACCGTTTGTATCTTGGAAATACACAAGACGAAGGAAAAATCAACGAAGATTGCTTAATGTATTTACCACTGAAGACCATCATTTGAAATAAAAAATCTATTAAAAGAGTTTTAGATTAGAGAAAGAAAGAAATCTCTGCTACCAATTTTCAAATGAGTTGAAGATGTTTCTTGTGAACACTTAGGACTCACTATAAATATCTATAGCAACTTTGTGATGAAAATTACGACCTCAAACGACTTACACCACTTTGCAATCATTCATGATTATATCCAGGGGCTTCTACTTTTAAAGAAAACTGATGCACGTCAGTTATAGGCAAACTTTTCAATAATAGCGTCCGACAACTCCTCATTCGCTACAACTCCCCATGGTGACACAATAACTTGCTACAGCGACCGTTATCATTGCGTGCTTAACAAGGTAACAAAAGATAACATTTCTCCCCTCTATGCATTAATCAGTAACGACCGTAACTTAAGGCGTTCTGTAAAGGGAGCACCGAGCCACCTAAATCCTAAACTCCGGCAAATCTTCACATTAAAACTTTGCTTTGGTCACAGAGATAAATACAGAAGACTGTTCATTTAGCGACAACGAGAAACTAATTTACTATCTTAATGGAGGTCAAAAGAGACCTGTTATCCTTGTCATGTACTTATCATTTTCAACACTGTAGTTACCATTTCCTTTTGCGATGATCTTTTTCGCTTCTTCCTCGTTCCCAGCCAGGATAAGTTGATGAAGTTTATTGTCCTTTTTCTAGGAACAGCAAAATATGAGTTATTCTTCATAAATAGAGCATGATATAGCTCAAATGAATGAACAAACCTATCATATAAATCAAGCGATAACTAAAGGTAAAATGCGGAGAAAACACGAATTTTTTAATCTGTTTTTTTACTTAAAGTGTTTGCAACAAAGCCGTGTGAAAGCATGACCGGCTCATACCAACCCGTCTGGCCCTACACACGTCAGCTTTATGGGATTGCACACAAAAAGTAACTTATTCTTCGTGGATGCGAAAGTTCACTCGATGTGGTTACACACTTACCACTGACTCCACACGCGTTACAGCCTCTGTTTCCCCTTCTTTACTTCTTACCGAGCCCATTGACAATCTCCTAATAGCACGTGATTTTTTTCGGTCTCTCGTCGACACATCTATGGCTCCCTCATTGGAAAAAACCGATGAGTTTTCATCTGAGTCTCCCGAGGTGGAGCTCCCACCAAACGAAACCTTCTTTCTTTCTGTCATGATGAAAATGTGGCAGATTTTCCGACTGCTTGAGACTTGCTACTGCTAAAGGCTAAACCTGAAAAAGATATTCAAAAGTAGAACAGTGCCAGGGAAAAGCTAAAGTTATCAAGTGGCCGTTATCGTGCTCCCAAGTGTCAGTAATTTTTTTAAAAAACCTGCAAAAACACTGATTTTACTTTAAATGCATGGTCCACGGATAGCATCATTCATGTCACAATATCTTCTAAGAGATATAGTACATGTACTTAGAAAAAGAAGACAGGATACGCATAGTTGGTAAAAATTGAGAAGACCCAAGTCTATCCAAACTGTAGGCGAACTCTAAATCTAGTGCGGCGTTTAAAAGCGCCGATTGTTTTACTATCACATATCTTCATCTCTAATGCCTAGCAGCTAGTTATCGACTGAAAACTGTCTTTTAGCTCAACTGAAGTTGAAAATTCATAGAGATTTAAAATGAACGGAAGTATAATTAAAAGGATTTTTTAACCCTTTATATATTTCACTGGTCACCGCTGGGGTTTCATACTCAATTCAAGCCTGCTCACAACGGTTAATTTTATATCAGAAATAGAGCTCTTAACGGGTGTTCGTTTCTCAGTTGTGGCTGTGAAATATTGTAAATGCATTCATTGTCAAAAAAAAGGGCATTTTAATGCGGCGGTAAGGATAGATTGTTGTTTCATCTGTAATTTTATTTTGCTCTTTCCCAGAACAAAGAAGCTCACCGAACTTTTATAGCCAAAGTTCCTTTGCCGTTAGAAATAAAACATAACCTATCCAGTATTTGTTTCTTTCTTCTTCTTAATAAAAAACGTCAAGAAATTCACTCAGTTGAGAGGCGAGAAATTCACTTCACAAAGAATAAGGGAGTGCATAAAAGTATTGCTTTTTATCAAATGCATGAGAAACGGTTGGTTGATTAAGCGTCAATTTAAATGGTATTTCCTTTCTAACTAATGCATTAAAGACACTACTTTCGTCCACAATGGGGGAGAAAAAATAGTTTGTTAGAACTGCGCAATATTGAAATATGGGATTAAAATCAGTTTAACTTGTATCTATAGGGGTTAATTTTTTAAAGAAAGTGTGTTGTTGCGTCCTTGAAGGTATTACAAAATAATTTGGTTTTTAACAACCGATTTTGTAATGTAAATAGTACTTTAAACAGTTTCTAAAGCTGAAAGGTCCGGCATTAGTCCTTCGTCAGAGCGGAAGGAGAGCTCGGTGACAGTCCGAACATCTTGTTAAACCCTCATTTTTCAAGATCACAAGTAATATTCAGCCTCCTTGATCTTCTTCATTAAGTCCGTGCAGTTTACTAATGGCGCAACAACCCATTATTTTAAGCAGAGTTTGATAGATATTGACCATGAAAGAGCAAAAGGTCCTCGGGCAAAATTTCAAAATTTCCTGTATTCGGCTTTTGAAAAACATTGACGCAAGAAGGATAAAAAAAAACTCTCTAAATCACGATTCAACAATTGAAGCCTACTCTCTCAACTTCTCGCATGAGTTATCACTGGTATGCAGTGAAGCAAAATATTTTCTTCTGCCTCTGAAAAATGATCTTTAAAGTCTTTGAAAACCTTTTGTGGATGTACTAGCAGCTATGCAATAAACGATAGTTATTTGACAAGTCTGAGCGCGCTCGTCAATGAGTTATAAACAAGTAATAACCAAGCTTTGTACAAGGCAATATGGAATTCAGAACGTCTAAGCAAGTAAATCGTGACAAAAGGAGGCATTTTTGATCAAAGAACTAAAAGCTTCTTTGTTTTTGCGCAAACGAGCGAGCAAAAAATCCTTACCGCATTTTAAGCTTTACGATTTTATCATCAATTTTTTTGTTTTTTTTTCAGGAGACTATTCAGTCTTTTGCGTGCAAGCGATGAGCAAAATGCTTAAAAACCTCTGGTTCCTTTTATAGATGATTATAAAACCGAAAGGCGGCGGACTCCTTTTGTTTCTGGCTATTGTTAGGTGTTTTGCTGCTAAACTTTAGATTGCAACATAGTGTCACCACAAAACAAAAGATTTTCCACAGCCAGGGAGCTTCTCGTAGAAAAAGCAGTTTGCTTTTTCAATTTTGTCGGCTTTTGTAGCCAATCATATCGAATAGTCATGAAACAGTTCAATTTGAATATGCAGATTGGATTATAGAATATTCAAAGTCACAGCAAATGAGCAACACAGTCGCAGTCACTATGTAAAGTGAACCAAGAATGATTGAGGAATCTTCTGCCCAAAAACTATGATCGGATGAAATTAAAAGTTAAACCTAACTAATGCTCCTATGACCCCCTCACCTGAAAAACGGCTATCGATTGGTTGTCAGTATACGTTAACTGTTATCTAGCGCGTGAGGAATCAGAGAAATTCACTGTTTCAGGACTTCTATGTCATGCAGTTATATCTACATTATCCGAGAGCGATGATTCACGAATTTACTAAGCGTTGTCGCGTGTCTAAAGCAAGTCTGTTATTACGAATGTTAACTGGTATAAACGGGGTTTTATTGCTTGATGGAACTAAATATGGAAAAATATATAAACAATAGGGTTTCAGTCGATAGAAGCAATTAAATATAACAATTTGTTGACACGCGTGTTCGACTAGTATCTTCTGAAATTCAACACATTCCACCACTTCCTTGGCTCAACAGCCTATAAGAAAAGCACGAAGACTTGAAAACTAAATCAACGACTTGACAAGAATACAGGGCTATAACATAATTCCCTCGCTTTGAAGTCAAAAGTCTTTACAGTGCGAACCGGGAATTTACTTGATCAGTACCAAACGCTAATTTTGCACCCGTCTAGTTGGACTTCCCGTATTGATATACTGCAAGATAACAGTATGCATCCAAAATACTGCGTTTGATATTGGAAGCTTCTAGAATTTGATGGCTAAGAAAACAGTTCAAGTTTTAGGAATTGCAGCTATTGACACCGTTTTTGTCTTCTCTCAGAGGGGTGACCGTTTGCGTCATCACTTCTTGCCAATCAGTGTTAAATATCTTTCTGTCTTACATCTTGATGTAGGTTTTAGCTAACAAACCTTGCTCATAAACACAGCGAATACAAAATAGAACGGAAAAAAAGCGTTTCCCTCTTCACAAAAGAACGAGGTTTCAACGTTAGAGCTCGTCGGGAACAAAACAAAACAGTCACTTAAAGAATTAAACTGGCCAAATACTTGTCCATAATCCCTGCTTATAAAAAATTCACCCAATCAACTAGCTACTGCACTTGCCTTGTACGCCGAACTGGTTTTGACTGCAATTACCAGCTTAGAGTCGTAACGCGAACTTTACAAACTCCAGTATTCGGTTGCGGTTCGTTATCTTTGGCAATTATTCAAGAATGTTCAGCTGAATAATTAAAAACGAAAACACTCGCCCGTACGAAAAAATTCGATCACGTGGTATTTGCCTCGTCTTTATTCATAATTCATCTGCTTCTACAAGTTTCTCATCAGTATCGCTATTACTCATGCATTCGAAATATATAAAACCCTGTATGGTGCACGTTAGTCACCTAAATTTTAAACGTCTCTTTAATTTACAGCTTTACGTAAGTGACTTACAAATATTCTCCTGAAGAAGTGATTCCCTAAAGCAGCGTGACCTTGCGGTTGGCAAATTGATTCAACTTATTCTCAAATGTTTAAGAACCTTTGGACTCTCGCAATTACAGCCTCTGGCTGAGAAAATGTGCGCTTAAAGATCTGTCAATAGCTGTAAGATAAAATATATAAAACTGTATGGCCCTGACTTTTGTTTCGTCTCTATGCTGGTTAGCAGGAGACGTTAAAGAACCCGCTCAGTTCTTACAAAAAAAAAAGGGGAACCTTGCTGCCAGTGCTGTGGTCTGGCCTTGCTCACAAAAAATTCCTAAATTGGCGGCACCTGTAATGTTCTCTTTCAAAAATCGTAAACTGCTCAATACAGTTTGACCAAAGTCCCCTGCAAAGTGCCGTAAAGCGCATTAGAGCATACTCATTCGGAGAATGCACTATAACATAATGCATCAGCAGATCATGGTAATATATTTTCATTATGACCAGTAGATCGTTATGATGCACTGAATAGCGTTATCTAACCTCACCAGACTTTTTGAATAACATAACAGTAAAAAATGTCAAAATATCATCAAAATATATATAAGTATCAAGTACGCTTAAAACACAAGCATCTTACAATCTGGAAATCATACGAGTTAGCGTAATGGCTTGTGTAATTATGTAAAGAACTCATGAAAATCCAAATAAACCCAGTTTACTGGATGTCTTTGTCTCGTCTTTCTTTTTCTGTTTCTCGTCTTTCTTTCTACTTTGTATTTCTTTTAAAACATCTGACTGCTCTTTCATCATTTCGTACATCTTTTGCATTCTAGAGAAAAATAGACCAAACTGTTTTTAAGAACTTTGTTTACCAGTTGCTTTGTCATTGTTTAACTGATGTAGCTAAATACCATGAAGGGTCACTCCCCATTTCCCTGGAGATACAGCTTCAGAAAAAAGCCTTTCGTTTCCTGGGAATTGTTTTTTCCTTCTCACCATTAGCAAAGAATTATACGAGGTTTAACTTCTGTCGAGACAATACATACTCATTAACTGAGTGGGAGGGCAGGACGGGAAAATATTTGGCTCGAGGTCAACGTGGTTGGAGCGTCATGGCCTTGGGGTAAATATTTTCCCGTCTGGCCCGACCAAATTCCGTCAATAGGCATTGTTCGTATAACCACTAGGTATTCAATATTCTAAAAAGTTTCTTTCGACTTAAATAGGACGCACTTCCGTACAATAACTGGGAGAGCACTACTAAAATCTTTTAAAGTAAAACTTCAGTCTGGGAGATCATGGCCTCCCAGTAACTTAACGGGCTCGAGGCCAAAAAAAGTTAAAGAATAGCGGAGCAGGCCCAGGCACCCTAACCAATCCATTTTGTTTCCTTAGTAAGTATTTTTTCGAATCGTTTTCCAAACCTTCGAAAACCCCATCTGCAATAAAAAGTTACCGGGACCTTCGTGAAACAGGTCCTGGGTCCCGTCCAACCCTATCTACGTCAGCTGTCAACTACGGGATTGCGCTCCCGTGAGGTCATAGGTCATACCATAATATCAGTTACACCTTTCCAATGTAAAAAGTGCTTTACCGTTCTTTAAATTTCCAGATTTGATATGACGTCACAGACGCTACTTACTTTTCTTCTTGCTTTTGTATTCTCTCCAAAACTTTTACCATTTCCGGTGACATCTCATCAGCTTCTTCCTCGATACTGACTTGAGGTTTATCAAAGCCAATGAGGCCATCGATCAACTGAAAACAATGAAGTGGACAGGAATTTAAGTGCATCAAAAGTTTAAGAATAATAGTGGAACTCTCCCTTGTTTGATTTACCTTTAGGGGACTTTCACAGTACTAACCTTTTGTTTAATTGTCTTCGGATGGTTCGGAAACTCGCTGTACGAGTACACTTGCACACGTTTCATTATAAACTCTGGAAGAGAATTTTCGATGTCCACAAGCAGTCGAACCTGAGAAGATTGAAAACAAAGCGTACATTTTTGTAATTTTATCACTAAAAGTAAAACTTAAAATTTTGATGTCCTCTCTTCTCGAAAAAGTTACTATCCTCTTATGCGTGCGCTCTTTGGAACGTATTTTCGATTGGTTGCCTGATATTCAGACTCAAAAGTTTGATCTTATCTCTAAAATACGTTATAGTTGGAATTTTCCGGCAGTAGAATTTATCAACACAATTATCTGATAATTCCTGGTAAACTATGTAAGATGGGATGTAGAAGAAAAATAAATCAATCCGAAAGTTTAATTTCTGTATAATCTGTTCATGTTGTCCTTCAGCAGCATTGTTAAAAAATACAAACTGTTCAAATCGGGCCTTAAACCGCTGTAAAAAGTAAAATTTAAAATCCAAGCTTTCGCCGATTAACGGCATCATCAACGACAGCATCACCCTGATGATGCTGTTGATCAGCGAAAGCTTGGATTTTAAATTTTACATTTTACAGCAGTTTAACGCCTCATTGGAACAGTCTGTTACTTTAATTTGTGTCTATACAAATTATCCTTGTCTTACTTGAAGGACATATCGATCCATGAGAGCATTCTGCTGAATTTTGTCAATATCACCAACAGCCAGACCAACCTGAAAAAGTGAAAATGTACAAAAGTGATAAAAACAGTAACACTGTAAGTCATATAAAAGGCATGACATATAATATGCCGCTAAAAAGATGTGTTTTCTGCTATGGTTTTTAATTTTTCTTCCTGTCTTCCTGTAATTGCTTACTGTTGCTTACTGGTAGGGGGGGGGGGGGCTGATTAATAAAGGTATACAGCACTCGTAAATAGGACCATAAAATCAGGAATTGTCCTATTTGTAACCTATTTTCAGAGGTAAGGGATATTACCTGAAATCCCACCTTCCCCCTCCATTTCATCCCTCGCTTGCTGCGCTTTCTTCCCCTCCTCCCCCTCCCAGATGAAATCATGCGATGTCGCCATGCGAAGAGTCTCCGTTTAACCTCATTCCTCGATTATCGTAACACATTGAGAATCTGGGCGTTAACGCTGACCCAGGGTTAAATTTTAGTCGGGGTTTTTATTCCGTTGCTTGAAAGCCTTTTTCAGATAATTTTCTCTATTCCTTTTTAGGGCATCCAATCATCAAAATGTAAACTAAAAGGATTATATTGAATTTTTTCCAAGGCTTTCAGTTCTGAAATCAGATTTCACATTAACCCCGCGTTATCTTAACCTTGCGGAGGCGCGGTGGTCTCATGGTTAGTGCGCTCGACTCCGGATCGAGTGGTCTGGGTTCGAGCCTTGGCCGGGGACATTGTGTTGTGTTCTTAGGCAAGACACTTTACTCTCACAGTGCCTCTGTTCACCCACGTGTTTAAATTGGTACCGGGAATTTAATGCTGGGGGTAACTCTGCGATGGACTGGCATCCCAACCAGGGGGGAGTAGAAATACTCCGCTTCAAGCTACAGAAACCGGATTTAAGCACCGGCCTAATGGGCCACTAGGCTCATAAACAGACTTTACCTATCTTAACCCTGCTTTGAACTTTGAAATATTCTGAGTTATTAGTGTTACCAGCATGTTCATCATAATGATAGGCATTCCAAGAACAAGCACAATAAACAAAATATTGGTCAGGGTCGAGAAGGCCAGATTATCCCACGGAAGAAAGTTCTCATGGTAATTCATCTCTCCCAAAGTCATCACAAACATCGTCATCATCGAAGTACCAAAGGTATCGAAAGGAGACTGTGAAATGATTTAAACAAAGCATGCATGTAATAAATAACTTTGCTGAACAGAGTGTTTAAAGATTTTAGCAAAAATGGCTCTGCAATTTTGGCTTTTTAGACTATTGATTTTATTTTTCAACATAGAAGCAAGTGGAATAAGAGACAGCATTGAGTCTTAATAATTTTAGTTTTGTAACGTGGTCATGTTATGCCCTCTTCTGTCTGCTCTGCGTCTTTTTAATTTTGTATTCTTCACAGGGATATTGTTATTTCTGTTCTCAAAACTATGATGAAAACCTTTTCGAAAAAAAAGTGTGCCACAACGCTGATCAGTTTATTTCTTAATTCCAAAATTCCTAGATGATAAACTTACGTCATTCATGATCAATAAAAATGTTGTCCCAAATGCCATTATAAACAACATCCAAAGAAGCAGAACCTGTTAGAAAATATGGAAAAAGAGTCTTGATATCCGGAAAAACATAAACCAAAGCGAGGAAGGTAACAAACTTTAAATATAACGTGGGGGTCAATTCGGTCATTTCTGGAAACATTTTAGCTTGCGAAAGGGGAAGGGCTCTCTTTAAAAACATGGACCAAAGCGAGGAAGGTAACAAACTTTGATTACCGTGTGGGGGTCAACTCGGTCATTTCTGGAAATATTTAGGTTGCGAAAGGGAAGGGCCCTCTTTAAAAGTACAATCAGTTAAGGCTTTATTTCGCCAATTTTCCTCAGATCTACCACAAAAGGGTTTGGTAATCAGGTAATCATAAGCAACGTATTTTCTCCTCTTCAAGAAGAATTAATCAACATTTCTATACTGAACATCTGAAAACTCAGAGTGGAGGATCCAGTATGGTGGACTTTTTTCTGGATGACTTCATCTTAGGAAGATCAGACATTACTGAAACCAGTATTTTTTACGCATTTTTAAAACAAACCTTTAATAATGTTACAAACATCGTTGACAACATGATGACATATTGACCGTAGGAAGACAGTCTGAGAGAACACAAAGAGCAAACTAATCAGTGAACAGAAATTCTAACATGTTATTAGTGTCCTTACTGAGCCATGCATTTCAGGAGCAGAATCGTAAGCAAGTTAAAAGAGATTATAAATGTAACTTCCTTTCATTTCATTGCGACATGACCGTCAAAATCGAACTTAAAAGGAAACAGATTTTCGATGGAAATCTTAAGATCTTCATTTTAAGTATTCCTTTTGGTACTTACCTTCTAAAGTATAAGATGAGATTCATCCAACCAAAGAACAGCGCAACCGCGCCAACTTCTCTCTTAAACCCAGCTTTACAGTCACATGGTGGTATAACGTACAGAATTGATGCTATATAACAAACCCACTCCAAGAAGTTACTGACATCTTCCAGGTACGAAAGCCGCTGTTGAAAAAATTTTAAAAACAAAGAGTTGAGGCTTTAGCAGTTTTTTTTTTCTATGATAAAGTAATGTGATACGAGCGTCCTATAAATGTTTCATTTTTTTCCTTAAAGTGCCCATAACGTCAAAAAATGCTTTTCGCTCATCTAATTCTACATTTCACCAAATGAACTTCTGCTAAAAAAATTTTCGATTTGGATAAAACGCAATTTTTTTATAATTTTTTAAAGACATTCAAATTTGCCGTCATTTTGGCCCACCATTCGCACCAGTCTTCCTCGGTTTAAAGTGAGTCGTGATGTAGGTTCAGGAACACGTGATTTTGGGTTGTGACTTATCTGACTTGAAAACAAGTGGGAATTTGCTTCAGAGTGGTCACAATATCGTAAGCTCGCAATATCGTAAACGACCCGCACTCGACCAGTGTACTTATATGCACTTTAAGGTCAAGTGAGGTTCCTGAACTTACGTCACAGACATCAGTCACGTGGTCATTTTGACCACGTTATTCTTGTGATCAGCGGCAGGGGTCGACCGTAAGAAAATAGAATTTTGAACTTTGTAAAAATTCGTAAAAAAATCGCGTTTTATCCAAATCGAAAAAATTTTTCACCGGAGTTCATTTGGTGAAATGTAGAATTAGATGAGCGAAAAAAGTTTTTTGGCATTATGGGCACTTTAAGATACAAATTTAGCTTAAATTGCCTTTACACACACTCCATAAAGTAGAAAATTTTCCTGTGAGGGTCTTAACTGATCTTAACTAGCATGACCCAGTTCAGAATTCCTAAATAAACTCGGAAAACTACTTTATGGCGTGTACCAAGATTTACTAACCGTATGGAACATAGAAATGAGTTCCTTTATGAGATGGCCTGATGCTGTTATCAACACAAAGTAATTAAACACCTGAACCACCTGCGAGACAATGCGAACAAAATGCCATCAATGTCAGAATCGATAAACTATTTCTTCGGTTCCAGTAAAAAGGGAGAAAACTACTCGGAGATGGGAGAATTTGAGATGAAAGATCACCAGATAACCACAAGAGCCGTGAAACTATGCATTATGCATTTTGAAAATGGCAAATCTGTTTTTTTTTTTTTTTTCTCTTATTTTCTCCCAATTTGTTCGTCAAGAACGTTTTGTCAGTCATTCTCTATCCGGCTTGTAACTTGTGATACGTTTAGACTATCGATCATAACAAGTGCACATACATATATCTCATTAGACGTTTTGTTGCGTAGTATCGCTGAGTATTTTTACGAGTTGTGCCGTATTTTGACGAGCCCGAAGGCCGAGTCAAAATACAAATAACGACTAAAAATACTCAGCGATACTACACAACAAAACGTATAATAAGTTATTTATTATCCAACACGCCAAACTGTTATTTCAGTGCGGGCGAATTTCGCGATATTTATTTACCGGGAGCTCGTGACAGAAGTATGCGAGGCGGAACGGAATTGGCGCGTTGCCGCGTTGCTCTTTCTATTTTCGTCAATAAATGAAGACATTTCTAGGTCGTCTAGCCGTTTTTCTTCGTTGGATTCATCTAATAAACTTGAATGTATATTTGCTAGCCATTCTTACTCTTCGTCGTCGGAAATATGATTCAAATTGTCCGCCATTTCTTTTCTCGTAACTACAATTCAACTCTTCGCTTGCGCGATGCGAGAAAACCTGTTTAACCGGTACTCTAGAGTACAAATACCGCGTGATATATGTACTCGTCTATGGCGTTATTTGTACTTTACGAAGTGTGGTTGGATAATAAATTATCTTATTAAACGTTTTGTTGTTTAGTATCGCTGAATATTTTAACGAGTTGTGCCGAGTGAAAATACTCAGCGATACTACACAACAAAACGTTTAATAAGAGATTTATTATCCAACACGCGCGAATTCAGTGCGGGCGAATTTCGCGGATATTAATTTACGGATAGCGCGTGACAGAAGTATGCGAAGCGGAACGTAATCGGCGCGGAAATTTCATTGTCGCCCAATTGCTTCTCTTTGTTCGATTTCTCTAATAAACTTGGATTAATATTCGCCAGCTATTCTGACTCTTCGTCGTCAGAAAAACAATTTATATTGTCCGCCTTTTTTTTTCGTAACTACAATCCAATTCTACAATCTTCTTCGTAACTACAATCCAATTGCGCGATGTAAGAAAACTTGTCTAACTGGTTCTCTAGAATTACAAATACCGCGAGATACTTGTACTCTACGAAGCATACTTGGATAATAAATGGACATAACGTCTACTCGGAATCAAATACTTACCACATTTGAAAAAGTACATGGAAATTCATCTTTATTCTAGGAGAGAAATGAACAAGAAAAATACTATCGCGTATCTCAGCAAAATAATAGCATCTTTGGCGGTCTTTGAAGGAAAAATAATTTTATGCAGTTGAAAAGTTGAACATTTCTCTGTAGCGTGGGACAAGGGAAAATTCTGAGTCACCCGTAAGGACTCGAAGTTCAGATTTTTAGGGCTTTTTAACATTTAAACAAAAGCCAGCTTAAGCCGTGGTTTTAGGTAATCAACGCACCTCAGGAAACAAAACCTGCCTACTAAGGTTAAAAATGTTTCTTGTTACTTTTATTAATAGAAAGTACATAACTTCTTTTCATAAATAGCGTGTAATTCATTGATTGGTTTAATAGCTTCCAGTGCTTACCTCGTCGGGATTGGAAGAATTAAAGCCACATAAATCATCTTCGTGTGTTCGCGTGTACACGGCTAAGGTGGTCAGTGGTATAATAAAGAGGAAATAAGTTAACAAGTTGATTCCAAATGTCACCCAGCCAAACTTCTTCCTAGAAACACAAGGAAGAGCCCTATCATAACCTTGTAGAACAAAAGTGAACAGTGCGGTTCATTACTTTATAACGATTGATGCTTTTGAAGCCTCGCGATAAAAGTCCAGATCTTTCTTCATTAGTATTGGTTTCGTAAGTTGAGGTGATTCGTGATGAAAGTCCAGGGAAGGCGAAATTAATCCGGAACTGAGACATACTGGAACGTGGTTGATGACCCCACCAGCAGAAGATTAACAGCATAGCAGTCGAAACATCGCAATCAAAACACGACTGATTAGCCTGACCCTTACATCTTGTTATAAAAGATTAAACGTTCATTTGATGACCGCAATATGCTTCAAAGATATAGCTTTTATGGACAGCAGGATTCAGGATTGGGATAATTTATCGTTGTACTCTTATCGTACCATTTAGTATTCAATAAATGAAAGCTGACAGGGTGCGTCAAGCACCGCTCTCTGCGATGAATCGCCATGGTCTGAAATAGAAAAAGAAAAGCATTTGTAAAGCAGGGCTGGCATTTTGTTATTTTACTTAACATTAACCTGAAATCTAGCCAAACCCAGATGTACACCTTTTAGTAATATCTTTTAACGCATAAGGAGGGTTATTCACATTCGTTGGGCATATTCAAGTTGGGCGGAGCAAGTTAAGAAAAACTTCGAATTACCTTACATGATGAGCAACGCCGTCGTCGGAGATTAAGAGATTTAAGGGAATTAAGTCCAAATCCTAATCATGCTTATAAAGGCGCATATCAAGTAAATGTCTCGTGTCTGCTCGGGCAAGGGGTCCCTACAGCATTTCAGAAGTATTTTGTAACTATTTTAAACATATAGTAGTTGCATAGGAACATAACAGTTGGCAGTAGTAATAAAACAGCACTAACAAGTCGCTCTTACCTCTATTAAAGCCAATGAGTTGATTTCAGATCGTTTCGTCTCTTTGGTTTTGTCTTTGGCTTTGTCTTTTGATGAATCCTAGAAAAATATTCGTTCACTGATTTTGAAAATAAGTACATGAAACAAGCAAGGGCTCTGGGGTATACTGGCGTGGTAATTGACTGAGAGGATAATTTTATTAGATTTTACTATAATTCCTTTAAAGCCGTAATGTTCAGAAACATTCTAAACAAATATTTTCCTTCTACCTATGATTTTAGCCATATGTTCTAAGCTCTAACGCACTTTCCTTTACTAGATCTGTAACTAATTCTGAATAATCATTTTTTTTTAGTAGAGAGCTACAATAAATAGGAAAAATGAGGTCATGTAAAATATCGGTAATCGGTAAAATGCGTAAATAGGTAAAATATAAATTCATTTCAGTGACTTTTTGACTTAAGAGTCTCTTTAATACAAAGCTTGGAGTTTTATCCTCTGATTTATCATTTGCACAAGCCAACTATTGATGGATGAGCAAGAAGATAACAACTCTCTTAAAGGTAAGAAAAACGTTTTCGTTACGTTTTCGTAATGATAAGTATTTCTGTTACCTTTTTTCCGGTTTCTCCAGTATCCGTGGTTCTTCGTGAGTTTTTCTCGGGTTCTGCGAATACTCCTTGAATCAAAGCGAGGTCATAACTGACCTATGATTGAAAGGAAAGGGTTGAATCATATCCAATAAATAGCGGAGCTGGCAGCGCGCGCAGCGTAGCCCCATAATTATACAAAATAGTAGTAGTAACCCATCAAGCCCAAAAAATTTGGACTTATGACCATATGGGTGTACGTGCTAGGTGCCACCGCTTTTAGCATGCGCGGTCAACTGTACCGCGGGCACGCCGACGCCACGGCTTTAGTCTTGTCCAGCGGGCATTTGAGCACAACGTGTGCGCTACACTTCTACACAGCTGGGGAGACTCTGGGTTTGAGATGGATTTAGTGGATGGTACGTTAAGCATGCGCAGCCGAGAGCCGTGCGGGCTCATCTTCGCAATGGTATCCGATAATATTAACACGCACTTTATCCATAGCAGGAGCTTTAGTTTTGTTGACGAGTCGTGCGGGAAAAAATGCGAGCTCCGTTTTTAGGCTTGGCTAAATCTATATATTAACAGGTTAACGTAAGCCATATTGCAGCCGTACATCGTGGGAAAAGGTCCGATTGTTTGCTCTGTTAGCGTTTAAGGACTGTCAACTCGAGCAGTTGATCGATCATTTGTCACCTTAATCATATCCGTGAAAACCACTTGTTGTTGCACCGAAATCTTAATTAAAGGTCTGACTTAGGTGACTCGAAAACTGTTTTCACCTACATATAAGGAAACGAAAACAAAAGAAAAACAAACAAACCAATAAATAAAATCATACTTTTTGCCCCCACCTTGGGAAAAATTATCAAGGGTAGATCACATTAAATCTTACCTTGTAATTCATACTGTTTTGATCTCCACTTTCTGTAACAAGCTGATCTAAAATTCGCTATGAAGGAAAAAAAAATCATAAGCACACCATGATACATGAACTTTAGTTTAGCAATTGATATTACATATGCAATGAAAGAAGTAATTCCTTTACCCTTACAATTACAGATACTTCTTAATCTTAATATGTATTTAAAACGTGTTCAATTTTATTGAAATGTTTTTACCACTAAAGCATCCGGCATATCTTCCACGAGTTTTTGCAGCAGCGGGACCACGCCTGTTGAACATGTTGTGAGGACCTCTCTCCATCTATTCACCGAGAGAGAAGAAATAAAGGGCGTACATAAAATGTATAGTTGTCATAACATATGTCAGATTTAATCAAGCCAAGGGTTTTTAAGTGAAGTGACTGCAGATTCAGTTTTCCACGACTTCAAAACTGCTGAATCATTTTTGAATACTAAAGGTCCCCATATGGTGAAAAATTGCAACTGAGTTTAACAATTCCAAAAAGCTTTTGTCCAGTGGTTAAATAAATACTACGCTGTTTGATTAAAGTTATATTTCTGTCAATATGATTCACTGGCAGGATGTCTTTAGACTGATCGTGCACTTTTAAATAGTTTTAAAAACCTATGTTAAAGATATTGTTTTCGCAGCATGCATTTCACCTGTCATTTCCGGCAATCACCATGACAACGTCACTCTTTTTTTCTTTAACAGCAGCGTCCAGAATGTTATCATTTGTGTTGTTACGTGTGACTTCGGCTTTGCGATCGGCGGACAACAATAAGCTCACCACAGAAGCGTGACCGTTGATGGCTGCTAGATGTAAAGCCGTGTTCTGTGGAAAGTGATAACATGAAGTAGGAACAAAAAGGATGAGGCAGTGAAATCAAAGGCGACGAAAGCAGTTAGGTAAAATTCCGCATTGGAGCTAAACACGACCATTTCTCGCACCTAATACGTTTACTTTCTTTACGAATTGGCAGATTTTGCAAATTAAGCGAGACATGTGAATCGGCTGAGCAATACTTAATTGAGCGTAAAGTGTTCTCGAATGTGTTCCAAAAGTGATGACCCCTCAGCCTGGCCCTAACTTAAAAAATTATGTAGTTAATTGAGATCTTCACGAGCCTCCACGTAAAGTATGAGGTAGCAAGAAATGCTATTCATGCATCTACTTGGAGACCGGTCCATCTTAGGTTACTCAAAACCCCAGGCCCACCACTGACATTCTTCAAGCTTTAGTAAACACATCAGGAAAGTTTTAAAAAAAACTGATAGTGTGCCACCTTATTTTTGTCCACCATGTTTATACAATCCTCGAACTTTTGAAGGATCGATTCACAGCATTTCGCGCATCCCTTGGAGGCTGCCAAATGGAGCGGAGATCGGTCTTGTCGATCTCTAAGAATATAAAAAAGTAAATGATACGTAAACTCGACGTTCTTCAAGTGGTTTTCGTGCAAACCGAGGTAAATCAAATCCTGCTATCAACTCTTACTAGCTGTTCTAGCTGTACTGGAAGCTTCCGCTTCATAAACGTTCGTCATTGATATCTACTTGATTTGAGCCAATATGAGCGTTCTGACTAACAACAGTGAAATTTCTCAATCATACTCACGTACTTCTCAATGGTTGCTCCTAATCTCAAAAGAACTTCTGCTGAACGATCGTGTCCTTCTGTACATGCGAAGTGTAGGGCAGTTTTTCCTTGACTGTTTTGTAGATTTAGGATTCGAGCATTCTGTCGATCCATAAGTTTCTCTATGGCTTCAGTTCTGCCATATCTATCGTACGAAAAAGAAACAAATTATCAGTGAACAAGATATTCCAGAATCCTCACGATGGACAAAGCCCTATAGTATTAATAAAACCTATTTTCGTGTGATGTGTTTACACCGTCAGTATCTTTAAAAAAAAAAAAGATCTAAGTAGATCTATTAACATCTTGAGTATACATCCAAGGTACGATTTAACACAACAGGATAAAAACTAGCCTGCGGTGCCGGCGTATTTTGGGCGCACGAATGCACATTTTTAGGCCGCCATCTTAGATTTGGTAACTGTGGAGGATTGGGGCGAGGAAATATTTTCCGAGGGAGTAGGTGTTAAGTGGAAAAATGGGCAACGGGGGAGAGGGAGGGGAAGGAAAAAATACGCCTGCCCGCAAAGCCTGTGATTTTGCAAAACNTCTTGCACGATGCTTTTGAGCGGACAGACAACAATCACACACGCAGCTTTCAACGATAATATTTGCTTCACGCGGATCAACAACTGGAAGATGAGGCTTTTACCAGAGCCCGTCGGAAGAACTGCTGGTAAATCCCTTCCATGAACAAGAGAAGAAATGGCTTCCTTTTGTTCCGGGCGTAATATAAGCGACATACCCAGCTCAGAGAGAAATAAAAGCGCTTCTGCGAGAGCAGCATCAAAGCTTAGCGTATCCGCCATTTTCTCTCCAAATCACTCCCGCTCCCAATCGCGGAACGACCGGAAGAAAACTACTTTAGATGACAGGCATCAATCCAGTTTCAACCTACCGTACCAATCAGAGGCCTCTTCTATCTGGTGTACGGGTTTTGCAAAATCACAGGCTTTGCGGGCAGGCGTATTTTTCCTTCCCCTCCCTCTCCCCCGTTGCCCATTTTTCCACTTAACACCTACTCTCTCGGCAAATATTTCCTCGCCCCAATCCTCCACAGTTACCAAATCTAAGATGGCGGCCTAATACGAAAATGTGCACACGTGTGCCCAAAATACGCCGGCACTGCAGGCTAGATAAAAACTGCTCGTCTGCGCTCGCAGGTTATGATGTGTGAAAAAGGTTGTTAGGAGTGCCAAATTGTCTCTGGGATTTCATTATAGTCTTGCCATGATGTTTCCGCACGTCAGAGAATTTAAAGATTTAACAGATAGCTCAAGCTATGCTACTCAATTAAACACATCCCCAAGAGAGGCGTTTGTTTTCTTCTTTACCGAGAAAACATTTTCCAGATACAATACCTCGCAGCCACGTGTATGGGTGTTTCCAGGGAATCTGATGTCACACTTGCAGCTGCCTTGTTTTTGGTAACGAAAAGCTCCAAAGTCTACAAAAAACCAATGTGTTCGTTATCGTTAACGGAAATCAGTTTTTTTTTCCTCGATGCCATACGCCTTGTATGAAATCACTTTCTCACCGCAATGTTTCCCTTCATGGCTGCATAATGGACAGCAGAGTAACCACTCGCATCTTTCTCGGTGATAAGGGACATCATCGCAGGACTCTAAAAGCAATGCAAGGAAAGAGTTACAACAATTTGAATTAGCTGCTATTTGGTGGATCCAAATGATACAGCACAGACGTGAATTATTAGAAACTCTTTAGAGACATAATCTACTTTTTAACAGCCAAAGAAAACGATGTAAAATCTTAATCTGGTCCCGGTTGTTCAAAGGTTGAATAAACCTATCCAGTAAATAAATCCCTATCCGGTGAATGGCAACTTAAGCGTCGGATGGCGTTAACCGCCCTATATACAACTGGGCCCAGAAGTATAATTACCCTATTGGTTCTGCCATTACACTGCCCCTTTCCGTTACACCACGATAACTTTTGGCTGTCAGATGTTTGGGTGTTTATCTGTTCGTTTCGAGTCATCTGATAGTTGGATTTGCTTTGAATACCATTGTATATTACATAGTACATAGCTTGGGTAAACCAAGCCATTTAGTCAGTTCCTGAGCTCATATGGAGTAGTTAAGAGACTTAAGAAAGCACATTGTTTCTTATATAACCTTAACTGACCTGAAGAAGATCTTCCATGACACGAGGATGGCCCACAGCAGCGTGTAAAACAGACCGCAACTCAGTGTCTCGGATAGTGACGTCAGCACCACGTTCCATAAGTAGAGTAACAACATCATAAGCGCCATTTTCGGCTGCCATGAATAATGGTGTGCGTCTCTCGTCTGACTTGGGATCTACCATCGCCCCCTGCATGAAAATGAGTTAACACCAAACCCAATAGATGAATATATTTATATTCAATTGCTATTCAATATGGCATTTCTTTGTTATAACTGATGCCCGCTTCCGTCCCAAGTGTCAAGTAATAAATACATAAATATATGTGTGCGTGTGTGCGTGTGTGTGTGTGTGTGTGTGTGTGTGTGTGTGTGTGTTTTTTTCTATCAATATTAAGAGATAGTTTGTTTAAGCACAAAGCCATGTATTAATTTCACCGAGTTGCTTAATGACC